TTGATTGCTTGAGGCCAGGAGTTCGAGACCAGCATGGGCGACATGGTGAAACCCTGTCTCTGCCAAAAAACACAAAAATTAGCCAGGCATGGTGGCACAAGCCTGTAGTCCCAGCTACTTAGGGGCTGAGGAAGAGGATCGGGTGAACCTGGGAGGTTGAGGCTACAATGAGCTATCGCACCAAGCACTCTAGTCTGAGTGACAAAGTGAGACTCTGTCTCAAAAAAAAAAAAAAAAAAAAAAAGTGTAGCAATACAATCCTGTAAACCTTTCCTTCGAAACCAGAAACTGTAAATGAGACTCTAGGAAAAAACACTCAAAAATGGAATGTTAAAAAAAAAAACCAAAAATCCAGGTATGACAGTTTCTTATTTCTATATAATCCTCTAGGAAATAAGTATTACTTGGCACTATATTTAAAGTACATTCTAACAAACGTAAATCAATATCTACAGAGACATGAAGTAGAAAACCTCACTGCTTTCCATTTAAACTTCAGGATCTCTACCAGATCCTGAGCAATATGCTCTTTCTAGCAAAGAGACAAAAATTGGAATACTTTATACTTGCTATTATTTATTCTGGTAGATTGTATCACCTGATGTAAAGTTTCCATAAATGATTCCTGAAAACATCATACACAAATTATTTAGGAACCAGCTCTTTCTCCAACTGTTGGCATAATTTTTGGGTGGTGTTCGGGTGTTTGTGTTTTTGGAGGATTCATAAAACTGGTTATTATGACACTGATTACTAAATCGTTGATTCTTTGCTTCCTAATTTATTAGACTATTTTCTTTCATTACGAGTTTAGAGCATCAAAGAGCTTTGTCCTTGATGACAAAAAAATGGGTAAAGACAGTCATATATACCTAGCCTGACAAAAGAACAGTCCCAGAAAGATTTCAAGAGCTTTACAGAGACTGCAAATTTTCACCTTCAAAGTCTGACCTTTCAGTTGACATTGTAACAGTCAGCTGAGGGCAGGATACAGTATCTTAATCACGATTACCTTTATCTGTACCACACACTACAACCTGGAAAATCTTCTCAATATGAACAAGAAGGGGCCAGTAAGGTGTGATGGTTAACAGGCTCTCAAGCAGACTGACTGGGGCTAGAATTTTAGCTCGGCCACTTAATTTACTCTGTGACTTAGAAAAAGATGTTTTAATCTTTCTCAGTTACACATTCCTCCTCTTTAAACTGATGCTAAAATAGCATCTACCTTTAAGTGTATAGAGAGAACTAAATGAGTGAATTCACGGCAAGTGCTTAGAACTGTGCTGGGCAAACAGCTGAAGAAATATCATCTATTCTATTAAAAGTATTTAACACTATCTTTCTTTTTTTTTTTTTTTTTTTTTTTTTGAGACGGAGTCTCGCTCTGTCACCCAGGCTGGAGTGCAGTGGCCGGATCTCAGCTCACTGCAAGCTCCGCCTCCCGGGTTTACGCCATTCTCCTGCCTCAGCCTCCCAAGTAGCTGGGACTACAGGCGCCCACCACCACGCCCGGCTAGATGGCCCAACACTATCTTCCAAGTGTGACCTTGCCTGGGTTTACGCCATTCTCCTGCCTCAGCCTCCCAAGTAGCTGGGACTACAGGCGCCCACCACCACGCCCGGCTAGTTTTTTGTGTTTTTTAGTAGAGACGGGGTTTCACCATGTTAGCCAGGATGGTCTCGATCTCCTGACCTTGTGATCCGCCCGTCTCGGCCTCCCAAAGTGCTGGGATTACAGGCTTGAGCCACCGCGCCCGGCCAAACACTATCTTTCAAGATGAAAGCCTTGCCCTGAAGCTCAAGCCATGTGCCTCCAAGTTAGGTGCTCTTTACATTATGTAGGGGATTGGCTGCTGCTGTGTTGCTCTTCCTCCAAGAGCCATGAGACATGCAGCCCTGACAGCATAGTCCTGTTACCTCAGGTGCAAGTCATAAAAAAAGGTCAAATACATCTCCTTGGCTTTTCTTTCATTTCCCATGTTAACAGATTTCTCTGAAGGACAATTATTTTGCCATGACCCATCTAGCCTCCGGCATACAGCCGCTCACCTGTCACTTCAAACTTTTATATAATGCTTAATAAGCTGACAATATTCGATTGGGTAATCATTTGCTTTTTTTTTTTAAATTTATTTTCATTTTTTGAAATAGGGTCTTGCTCTGGCACCAAGGCTGGTTTCAAACTCCTGGTCTCAGGTGATCCTCCCGGCACTGGCCTTCCAAAGCGCTGGGATTAGAGGGATGCTTCACCACACCTGGCCAAGGTAATTTTTTTCATCTTCCTCAAGTAATGCAAGGTGTTAACATTTTGTGAGAGGTACTTTGTCTTTCACAAAACACAAAAACGGCACTGTGAATTGGGATGAGTTTGTTCCCTACTGTAGCCAAAGACATCATGATGACAGGTCCTAAACCTGGACATTTATACTGAATTTCTCCTAGAAAGCATAAAGTTTACAAGGCTACACACAATACTCTGGAGAGAGCACATTTGTTATCGCAAAACCTTCGTTTTTTCTTTCTGATATTTGAAATTGCAGGCACTGTAAGGATAGCCCGAATGCAACTGTATATTGAAAAAGGAAACCACTTATTTAATAGCTGCTGAAAGAAGTTCATATTGTATCTATTTGTCAGAAGTCTATTTCAAACCTTCTAAAGCCTATTCTAATTTATTGTCGGATAAGATCCCACCTTTGACTTTTCACACCACCTTGCTTATATTCCTTTTATGGCAAATATTAGAATTATTATTTGCAAACATGTTTTATCTTCAAAATATATCCAGAATCCAACAGCTTCTAACTAATCATCTTCACTGCTACCATTTTGGTCCAAACCACTGTCATCTTTTCCTTGGATTACTACTACGATATCCTTCTAACTGGTTTTGTTGTTTTCACTCTGGTCCTCCCACTTCCACACCAGACTATTCTTAACATAGCAGTTAGCATGATCCCATAGAAACTCAGGCCATATTATGTCGCTTCTCTCCTAAATCCACCTCATCCAGAGTAAAGGCCAAAGTTCTTTTTTTTTTTTTTTTTTTTTTTTTTTTTTAAAGACAGAGTCTCACTTTGTTGCTCAGGCTGGAGGGCTGGAGTGTAGTGGCATAATCTCGGCTCACTGCAACCTCCGCCTCCTGGGTTCAAGCGATTCTCCTGCCTCAGCCTCCCAAGTAGCTGGGGTTACAGGTGCATGCCACCACACCCGACTACTTTTTAATATATTTTTGGTAGAGACAGGGTCTCACCATGTTGGCCAGGCTAGTCTTGAACTCCTGACCTCAAGTGATCTGCCCACCTTGGCCTCCCAAAGTGCTGGGATTACAGGAGTGAGCCACAGTGCCCAGCTCCAAAGTTCTTATCAAAGGCCCAGGAGGCCCTACATGATGTGCTTCCTCTGCGCCCCCAGCCCCCAACTGCCCAGCTTCTACTTTTTCCTTCACTCACTCCTGATGTTCCCTAAACTCATCAAGCGTTCTCCTGTGACAGTACGTTGCACTTGCTGTTCCCCTTGCGTAGAAAACAACTCTTCCAGGTATACGTGTGCCTCACTTCCCAGCTTTCTCCAAGTTTCTGCTAAAATGTAATCTTATTAAATAAGAGAATTTCTCTTACCATCTCCTATAAAAATGGCAAGTCCCTTCTCTCTTCCCCATCTCCATCCCCTTTACAATGCTTTTGTTTTTCCAACAGCCCTTATCACCACAAAGCATATTATTCACTCATTTATTGCATGTTTCTCCTCCCTTCAATAAAACGTAAGTTCCAGGAAGGAAGAGACTTATCTGTTCACTGCTGTATCCCCAACACCTAGAACAGTGCTTGGCACACAGAATGCAATCAATAAACATTTACTGAATAAATGAACAAACTTCCACTTTATTATTATTATTTTTTAAAGAGACAGGATCTTGCTCTGTGGTTCAGGCTGGAGTGCAGTGGCATAATCGTAGCTTGTAAGATCCTTTCTGATATTTGAAATTGCAGGCAGTCTATGGATAGCCTGAATGCAATTCTGCAGCCTCAAACTCCTGGGCTCAAGCGATCCTTCCGCCTCAGCCTCCAGAGTAGCTGGGACCACAAGCAGGCACCACCATGCCCAATGACCTTCCACTTTAGAACATAAACTCCTTGAAGGTTCTGCCTGATTCTTGATACTGTTCACATCATCAACTGTGGTGACGTTCATTTAACAGACCTTAACAAAATTTTTGAGTGAAGAGCAAGGGAATCTAAGTTACTGAGAATACTTGGGGTAAGTCTACAAGGAATTAGGGGAATCAACAATCCAAACAGCTGCATACAGAGCACCCTGGTTCTAAAACGAAAAGGTGGTTGTGGAAAGCGGAATCAGATGTTTCTCCATCTACCAACATTTTGGGCAGTATTTCCAAGGCATTCATGAAAGTTGCCGAGACAGTAAATATTTCACTCCTTAAACTGTTCGTCTTAATTCACTGGGATTAAACAGCTGTATGTTTCAGGACTCTGTTCAGGTTCGTGCCCTACTCATATCATTTAATCTTTCTAATAAATCCATGCACATAAGATTTTAATCCACTGACACTGGGCAAAGGAGGCAACGTGGACTCGGGGAGGGCAGTGGCCGGCTCAAAGTGGCTGGGCTAATAGGTGTCAGTGCCAGGATTCTAACCCAGGACATTTGGCTTCTGGGCCATCGAACACCCGCACCCAGGCCTTTCGAGGTTGACTAACTTAAGAGCCGGCTCCGCCTCTGCAGGAGTTGCCTCCCAAAAGGCAGAAATACGACTGCGCAGACGACCAGAACAGCCCAAGTTCTTCACCCAGGTTCCCGCGGGATCAGGAGCCTCCAACATTTCTCAAGGAATGCAGTTTTGCCCACAGATGCTTCGAAAACCCAAGTTTCCTGATCGTTGGTATGACACACCCAGGATTAAGCGAGCGTATGCGAGAAGCGCTCTGCAAACCGCCAGGCGAACGGCAACGAAGAGGAAGCCTCGGAAACAATACCTGAATGAGGCGGGGGCTGAAGAACTTGCTGACAATGGGCACCGGTCAATGCTCGGGGGCGGGCGAGGATGCTTAAGAAGGGCTCCAGTCCTCCCCCGCGGAGACGGCGGAGCCCCAAGTGTGCGTTTCTGGGGCGCCAAGGTCTGAGGGGGGCGGGGAGAGCCAGGTCGGTCTTAACACGCCCCCAGACCCCTCTTAACACGGGCGCGGGGCTCCTGCAGCCTGCCGCCCCTCTCGGCCCAGCCCGCTGCGCGGCGTCGCGTCCCCGTCCGGAAGGCCCCACGGCCCGCCGGCGCCCCGAGCCCCTAGCCCTTCTCGGAGGCCGCCCCTTGCCCGCAGCCCGCCCGGCGGCTGCTTACCTGCGCAGCCGGCGTCCTCTGCTTCTTCCCTCCGGAGGCGACTGGAGCCGACCGGCGGTGCCGCCCCCTCCCTCCCCGCCCTCGCCCGCCCCGCCCCCTCGCAGCCGGAACTGCTCCAGCTCCCGCCCTTCTGCCCGCCTTCCGCGGCCCCCTGTGTGGTGTCACTTCCGCCAGCGCCCGACGGCGCGCCGGGAGTCTGGGTCTCGCGAACGCGCCAGAAGCGTCCCTACAGCCGGGAACGCGCTTCGCGGATGACAACAAATTCGTCGCGCGGCGGCAGTGGAGGTGTCTGCCTCAGCCCCTGCAGCCTCCCCTCGCGCTCTCGTGCACTCTCTCTGAGCCGGTTGGGATCTCCCTCGGAAGTCCCCTGGCCTGGGGCCAGGAGGACCCCTCTGCGTCTTGCCTCCGCCAGGCCCAGCGCGAGCGGCGCGGCGCCGGCGATGGGGTCTCCCTGAGGAACTCCCGGCGCCAAACAGGGATGAAGGGGCCGCCCCAGGTTTAGGCCCCGCCGCGGCCTGGAGCCGGAGTCGCTGCCCTGAGGCCGGAGCCACCGCCACCCGCAGCCGCAGTCAGCCCAGCTGCTAGCAGTTACCATGCCTTGGCCGTTTTCGGAGTCTATCAAGAAGAGGGCCTGCCGGTACCTCCTGCAGAGGTACCTGGGCCACTTTCTGCAGGAGAAGCTGAGCCTGGAGCAGCTCAGCCTGGACCTGTACCAAGGCACCGGGTCCCTCGCCCAGGTCCCCTTGGACAAATGGGTAAGAGCTGCCGGGCAGCCAGCCGGGCGGGGCTCGCTCCCCTCTTTAGGGCGCTTTGAACCAGTGCCATCCAAGATTGGTGACAGTCAGTCCCTCCTTGGGAATTGTTTGGACCCGAGTGTAGCACGGCTCAGAGAAATGTGTTAGAGTGTTGTTTAATCTGTTTCTAACAAGTTTGCTCTCCTGAATCACGTGTTCCGGAAACTTAACAGATGTAATGGAATCTACACTATGGGAATAATTGAGTCAGTGCTTCGGGGGCGTCTATGAAGCAGGCTCAATGGGTCCGTGGGAGGAGGTGACCAGAACTGTCCCTTGGGATGTGAAGGGCCGCAGGGTTTTGTGGCAAGCAAACCCTGCCTTGTGGGATGACATTCTGGAACGATTGAGGATGACGAGGACCTCTGGATGTCAGAATCCCTAGTTATTGGTTTTGGGTTGGCTACTTACACACCGTGTTTGCCTTGTTTGTCATCGTGCAGCGTTTGCCATCTGGAAGAAAGTTAGGTGAAGGCCTCCTGTGCCGGTTTGCCTGCTTTTGCTTGATTATATGTTTACAAGATAGGTTTGTGTACCCAGCCTGTGAATGGTCGTGTGGCCCTAGTAGTGCTGTTGAGTTATGCCTCTTTGCTCCACGTGACAGATCTAAAAGCAGGTGTTGCAAAAGCGCTGAAGCTGCAATTTTCAGACATTTTAAAACCTGTCTTCTACTTGTCATCTAGAGGCTGTGAGTTCACTCATTGCTATACAGGTGCTTCATCTGAATTTCAACTCACCACATACAGTTGTACCTGCATTTGTGTGTTCAATGCATAATATTTTACTTAAAGTATATTCACTTTTGGGTTTGACAGGAATAGAGTGGCTTCTACCCTTTGCCCAACCCTTACTTCCTTAGCCATAGAAAATCTTAAATGATGGAAATACCTTATTATGACCCTTAAGTGAATTTGTACTAGAGACTATAAATCAGTATATAATTGTATCAGTATGTACATGACTTAAACTAGGGAGAGTACACAAGATAGTGGAAAGAGCCCTGGTTTGAGAGCAGTAAGACCCAGTCCCTCACCAGGAGGTGAGAGTCCTACCCTTGGAGAGACTCTCCAGTCCGCCACAATTAGCCAAATGGTAATGGACTTAGCAATTCACCTGAGTTCAGTCAACACTAATGGAGCATACACTTCATCTCTGTGTCGTATTATGGTGTTTTATTGCTGTAATTCTTTAAAAAGATAGGGATTCTGATGTATATTTTTGAATTCAACGACCCATGATTCTATACTTTTTATACGGTTATGAATAGATTATCTTGAAAAAAGAGGGTTCAGGATTTATTAATGCCTTTTGTGGGTCGAAGGACTTTATATGCATTATTCTTTGATGACTTTAGCCCTATAAGGTGGGCATTAATATTTCCATTTTACAGATGGAGTTAAGCAATTTACTCCGTTGCACATCTAGCAAGTATTACATCACATGGCCTAAGATCAAAAGAAAGGCAGTTAATGTTTATTGAGTATGTATTTATGTCAGGCATTGAAGTAGGCACTTTGGTTTGTGAGGTTTTATTTAGTCCTTATGGGAAGTCAGAGGTAGTGATATTTGAATTTTATAGTTTGAGTTCAGAAGCATTGGCAAAATGATTTTTGACTAAACTTAATCTGAGGATTATGTTTTGTTCTTGATGGGTGGATTTTGTAACCTAAAATAATGTTAAAGCATCCAGTAAACATTTCCTGTTGCTGATTTTTTATTTTCATGTGCTGTGTTGATGGTTAGGATAAATCTTGGTGTAACACTTAGATACAGCTATTCAGAGTTCTGATTCCAAATTCAGTTTATTTTGACACCTGATTTTTTTTTTTTTTTTTTTTTTTTGGTAGAGGATTCTCTTGCTTTGTTGCCAAGGCTGGTCTTGAACTCCTGGTTTCAAGTGGTCCTCCCACCTCTGCCTCCCAAGTGCTCAGATTACAGGCATGAGCCACAGGACCCAGCCAGATACTTGATTTTAATGACTTTCATGACTGGAAAAAAGGTACCTTCAGAGATTCATAGATCCTAATGGAAAAACTGATCCTAATTGAAGAATTGCTGTATTCCTAATGTTTCAATTCTAAATGATCAATTATGCAAAGAATTGTGTTGAACTTGGCAATGACATTCATTCCTGATCTCAATCAGTTTTTCTGTTACTATGACTAATTGACGTTGCATATATACACACAGGTTTAAAATTCAATTTTTCAACCTCTTTGTTCAGAAGACTTAGATTGGTTGGAATAGTCTTTACATGTTTTTAAACATTTTGTAAACTATATAGATAATGACTTAAAAAATAAGTAATGTTTTTAATAGACATCGTTTTCAGCAACAAAATTATGGAACAATGGAAACATTTCCAAATACAGTTTTTCAAATGCTCTCCTCATAGTACAAGTAGTCTTTGAAAAGTGGTTGCTTTCTTACTCATTATTAAAGTGCTATCTTTATTTTGAAAAGACAGATTAAGTGTGTTTTGTTTTTTGGAAAATATCTGCTAGGGAGCATGTACCACTGATAGTCCTTGTCATAAATACATAAACAGTCAGTGGAGGATTCTTCTCTGTGTAAAAGGAAAATGCTTATCTTTAAATCCAACCCTTATATACTTGGCCATAGGAGAGACCAGGAAACCAGAAAGTAATTGCCATTCACTGTCTCTTTACAGAGATTCTACTGTTTAAAGATCTGTTTTTATTCTGTAGAATGTATGCGGAAATGTTTCGGTGTGCAGAAGTGGAAGGAACATCCAGCTGAGGGCACCACTCTTAATCTTTCTCTGTTGTGAAACTACTAGTCTTCTCTTTGTACCAGTTTGATATATGGCCTGAAGGAAGGTGCCAGTGCCCATTTGTATATTAAATATAAATACAACTTTTTAATCTAAATTTGGAAAATGTAGAATGTCTCATTTTCTTCTCACATCCTTATGAATCATCTGATAATACTTTAGGAGATATACATCCAGTTTTGGAGATTACTACCTTAAATGTGGCATGAAGTGGAGGGAGGAATAGAGGCAAGGGGTTTGGGATTGTTCCATCATTGGAATAGTCTGTCTAAAGATTTCATAAACTCCTTGTCCCTAGAAGTGGTTGAAATGGTAAAATGTTGAAAGGAGGAAATTCTATTTGGGTAGGAAGTTGGATTTAATGACTCATTCCTTTTTAACTCTTTATGACTGTGCCTTTATTTTTGTTTTTTAAATGGAATTTCTTTCATTAATCGATTCAATACATTTATTGAGCTCTTAGCATGTGCCACTGTGAGGGGCTGGGGGATATAGCAGTGAACTAAACAAAGACCCTTTTCTTACACGAGCTCAAGAAGATAGACATTAACAATTTATTACACTGAGGCCTTTTATTTTATTTTATTTTTGAGACAGGCTCTCACTCTGTTACCCAGACTGGAGTGCAGTGGCGTGATCTAGGCTCACTGCAGCCTCAACCTCCTAGGCTCAAGTGATCCCCCTACCTCTCCTCCCCTCCCTGCAGTAGCTGGGACTACAGGTGCTTGCCACCACACCTGGCTAATTTTTGTATTTTTTGTAGAGACGGGGTTTCGCCATGTTGCCCAGGCTGGTCTCGAACTCGTGGACTCAAGCAGTCTGCCCATGTCAGCCTCCCAAAGTGCTGGGATTACAGACGTGAGCCACCTTGCCCGGCCACTGAGGCCTTTTAACTTCAGTTTAATAATGTTTCAATTGCTGCTTATATTCTCTTGGTGTTTAATAAAATCATCTTCAGTTCAAGAAACATTGATTACTGATTTGTCAAAGACCGCCTGGAGACTAGAATGTTACCTTCACTTTTTCTGTTTATATGTGTGAAACTCATTGATGATAATTGAAAGCAAAATGCCCTTAAACAGAAGAATAAAAAGCTCTAAAGGACTCTATAGTGGGACATTTATTTGCTGAGTAGTTCAGGTGGCTCCACTTTAAGAGTTATTTTCTTGTAGTATAGTAATGACTA